GAGTGAGGCTTGACCCCTGCCGCGCGAGAGAGCCGGGGGGGGGGGGGACATAAACTCTTCTTTATGCATCTTTTTTTTTGCTGCACATTCCTATAGTACTAATATGGTCCTCACTTTTCTTTTGGATCAAAACAGGGGAGCAAGGGCCATATTTAGATAAAGAAATTCTACTGAGCTGATCTGTTAAAGCTACTATGTATGGACTCTTAAAGTGAAAATAGTTATAGTGCTGGCATATTTTTTTGTGTAGCAAAATGAGCCCATTTCAGTGAAAACTGAAATTGCCTATATGTTGTTTTCACCCACAAACTCTCAGTAACACTGTCTTTTTTATCCTAGCACAAGGGATCACCAAGCAGATTTTTTTAATCTTCAGCATATATATAGAATGTGAAGTTGTCATCATGCCAGGTTGAATTTTGGGTAAATGCACCATTCTGGGGATCACAGTTATTATGCATCATATAGATATACACTACATACATCTCTAAGTTAATTTAAAAATAGTGTCCCGTACAGCTACATACAGTAGTGGATCTTTCAACTACATCCAAACATCCAATTTAGTGTTCAGTTTGTGTTATCTGTCGACAGCTGCTAGCTACTGTTAGCTTCCGCACCAAGAGCTGATTTCAGGTTGCAGTCGTTTTTCAGTTTTTCAGTCTCGTCAACAGGATCTCTTGGTCAGCAATGAGCTGGCTATAGTCAGTTAAGGTTATCCATTCTAAATGCCCACAATCAGTAGAGTGAGATTTAATTGATTTGAGCAATTTTTTAGCCAAACAAAACAAGAATTTAGGCAGGTAAATACAGTGCCTCCCTCCCATAATGGCACCCCTGTCCCAACATTCAACATGGTATGACTTTTGTTCACATTCTCTATAGGCTCTAAAATGGATTTTTTATTTCATGACTGTCACAACCTACTTTTAAGATGGACCGTCTTTTCCTAGTTTTCCTGCTTTTCACTCCAGAATTCTTCTCACCAAATAGCAGGGCACAGGCATGACCATGTTATTTTCAGTACAATACTGACCTAAAAGCCAGACATAGAGCTACGTAGCTAACACATTTACATTGGGTTGCAACTAATGCTTATTATGATTCTTCATTATTTTAATCTTTTTATTAATCAGCAACTTTTTTTGGTTTGTAGAATGTCAGAAATCAAATTATACACAGAGCCCAGGTAACATCTTCAGATTGCTTTGTGTCTCACCAACAGAGATATTCTATTTAAGACAAAAACACTGCATTCTGGTCTGGCTATTTACTATGATGTACTTCTCTCTGCACGATTGTTGCAAAAACTGCAGTTCAAGTAAGAAACCCTCACGGTTTAAACTGTGACGAACTGACACCACAAGTAGATGTTAACCACTGATACTACCAAACTCGCATTCAGCTGCTCGACATATCCGGACCTGATGTTTAATTTAGGCAGTTTTTAGAAATAAAGTCAATTCAGCACTGAACAAGAAAATGGGCCCAGAAATGTGGAATTGCATCAACAGCACCTGTTTTTTGAACAATGTTCAAGTGGGTGTTTACTTTACAGGAACCGTTTGATATGTGCTTTCTTATTGTGAGTTAGATTAAAAGATTGTACGCTAAATATGAGGCTACAGCTAGCAGTTGCTTAACTTAGCTGAGAGAGTCACTAAACTACTAAGCCAAGAAATAGTCTGTTATATAACCTCCAGTACAACCACAAACTGTTGCCTTTGCTTGTTCTTTGTACAGAGTAGCGGTTTCCCCAGGTTTCCGGTCTTTATGCTAAACTAACAGGCTGCTGATGGTACAGTAGCTTCACATTAGCATGCACTCATCTGACTCTTGGGAAGAAAGTGGTTATTATTATTATTATTATTACCAAAATCTTAGACTACTCCTTTAACATAACGCTCTTGATGGTGTTCCATCCTTTTAAAATCTTAAATATGTTAATGTATGTGCATTTTAATATAACTTCAATTTTATACAGGCTCAATTTTCAGTTAAGGCAAGTGAAGCTCATTCAACTGATGCACAGTCGGCTGAGTTCACATTTCAAGCCACTTGTTCAATTTCATATTTAAAATTGTAAAAAGTTAGGAGAGTACTTTTGTTGATTCATCTTTTGTGGAGTTGGGGAACAGTGGTCAGAAGTCGAACAGCCTTGACAGCTCCGACCCATCCACATCAAATCAGGATCATTAACATGTGCAAGCAGTGAGCCCAGAGCAGACACAGCAAAACAAACATGACATTCAAGGACAAATTCACCAACAGATTAAAAAAGAAAAAAAATAATAAATCACTTAAATGGTAGAAGCTTGGGGTGGGCACACTTTTCGTGAGTCTTCCTCCTCTTCCTCACAGATGAGATGCTGCAGGCGGTTCAAGAATATTCATGGTCATGATGGTAGGAGCCAAGTCTGTTCAAGATGTTCCCAAACATTTCTGAAAGGCCATGTTCAATCAGCAGTGACTGTCTGCTCCCACGGCGCTGTAATCAGAGCTGGTACAAATTCACATGCATGCTTTTCAGAAGCAGGTGGTGAAGGGGAAAGGGGATGATGAACAGGGAGCAGGCAGCTTCATTTAGTCAGAGAGAAGAGCTGTCGTCTGTCCGCCTGGGAGTGCAAAACTAGTTCTGCATTGAATCAACAGTAATAAAACAGCATTAAAATGACATCAAGTAATCAACTCTACAATAGAGGTTTGCTACAGCCTTTCTGATAAACATTCCTCTGTCCTTTCAGCAAACCCTCACCGCTGTTCTGGTTATCTTTTCTTTTGTTACTTCTCTTTTCCCTCTCAACTTTACTCTGAGCTTGTGTGGAGGCAGGATTGGGGTTGCACCAAAAGAGTGTGGGTATGAAAACGAAGCGGGGGGCGGGGAGCGGGGTCAGCTTATCCAGACTGGACTGCACAGGTTGAGAAAACTGGATTGAGTGTGATAAGACCCAGAGAGGTTCCCGTCCATCCCTAAAGATCTTTGAGTACGTTAGAGGGTGGTGCTCCCTGCCTGCCCTGGTAGCGAGGGGCAAGGGGTGGAGCAGGCACCACAGCTTATCAGGCCTGGAGGAAGGGGCAGGTATGGGATAAAAGGGTGACTTTGAGGGGGGCTCCATCCGAGAGACCCATGGCACTC